ACACGATGCCGCTTCTGTGAGAGAGAAAAATAACACACATGGGGCTGGCCCGGTAGGGCTGGCTTTTTAGTTTGCCCAGCCCGACCTCTCATTACAAGACCCTGTTTTCAGTTGCTTATCCCTTTGCCAAGTGTTAACTGTTTGGGCTGAAATTTCCTAATGAGTGTCTGACCCAGGCTGTTTTATTTTTTGAGAGAGTTTCAGCCAAAACAGTTCAGCCATTGCTGAGAACGAGACTAGGGAAAAATACGTTGTTTTGTCCATGTTAAAAAAAAAAAAATCTGGTGACTTTTTTTTTTTTAAACAGCTCTAGTGCTCCCATGCTTTGTGGCAGGGACTTGACATTTAGCAGTGGGCGCTTTGAGCCAGGGATGTGAAAATCTGCCCAAATTTGGTCAAGTTATAAGCCTTTGGGGGGAAAAAACACCTCCCCTGGGAGTTTGCAGAGTAGAGGCTTTTTAGAGCTTAAACAGCTAAAATTTCCAAAAGTTTTGTCCTCACTGAGCACGCTCAAGTCTCTTTCGGCTCCCAGTATGAACAGACTCTGCATGTGCCAGCCTCCCAGAGTAACTGAGCACGGTCCATCCCCTCACAGTGTCTGCGTGTGCCCAGGCTGCTCACGCGCCACCCCTACAGAGCACCCTCCAAACCAGGGTGACAGTGGGGAAAGCCAGACTTTCCCTGTAATGGCTGCTCCGGGCCAAGGTGAAGCCAGGCTCCAAAAGAGAGCAGGGGAAAACCTCTCTGACATCTTCCCCTCCCCCAGGCAGCATGGGGGAAGCCATCTGATTTGAACACTGAGGGGAAAGGAGCTGGACTGGGGACGGGGGAAGGAGTAGTTTGGGACAAGGAGTTTGGGAAGGGAGGGGAACTGGGACTAGAAACAAAGGTGGAGGAGGGAGAAAGGAAAGCCAGATCTGACAAGGAGCTAGAGTCTGTGAACAGGATGGGCACTGGGTGGGCAAAAAGCCTGCAACAAGGAGCCCAGGTGGGAGGCAGGACAAGGGGGGGGAGGG